GTTATTGCAGTTTTGTATTGTTTTGTCTCGCTTAGAAGTATAAGTAAATTTATTGTTTCATTTTTTACTTAATGTCACTTAATTTGTGGCCCAAAATAATAGCAATCAGTGTGGGTTTCTCTAGGCCCTGTGACATACCTCTGGAATTTCTGCCATGCTTTGCATTGTAGCCTTTTTGTTAGGTAACAAGTTTGTGCATGTTCAGGTTGTTTTCCTGGTAGTTCCATTGGCTGTCTATTAAGTACTAAGCAAGCCCTCATCAAATCTTAGTGGTGAAACACCCTTACCACAGAGGCTATTGGAAATTCCAGAAGGATGGGACTTACAAATCCCAATTGTTTATAATTTTTGAAATCCCTCTTTTTTGGTGTCTTCTCTTTGTGGATTAATTGTGAAATTATCCTGAGAGTGGGATGATGTATTGGGCACGATCCATTCAACCAAAATTCCCGGAAATTTGGGTACAAAACTCAATGGATCGGTTCGGTCCAACTGGAAAAGTTTCGAAAAAACTGGTCTACCTTTCAGGTGGACCACTTCCAGTCGGACCAGTCTGAAGTCTGGTTAAATGGATCACGCCCATTAAAATTGGTATCCACTTGGCAGTGGCGAGAGTAGGCGAGTTTAGGCGAGTTAAGGCGAGATAAGGCGAGATAAGGCGAGATAAGGAAATTTGCACATAATCGCAATCGGCGAGTTAGGGCGAGTTAAGGCGAGTTAAGGCGAGTTAAGGCGAGTTTAGGTCCCAGAGTAGGCCTACTAAAAGGACCAGTAGCTTTCCTAGATTTCACTTTAGTCATTAAAGTTTCAATTCCCCCTGTTGTTGTAGGAGAAATAAAAAAGCTATTACAGAAAGGAGTTATTAAATACCTTAAAGAAGACATTTCAACATTTAGTATTGAGCAAGAAAGGTCGTTTCCAATGATATGTAGATTTAGCCAGGACTAAAAGCAAAGCTCGCGATAATATTTACAGTTTGTTCAAACAAAACATAAAATAGTGTAATGCTAAGCGGCGGAGGCAACGCCGGAGAACGGTGAAAAACAACAACAGGTCTAGTTAGCAAAAAAGCAACTTTGCACGTGCAGCACACTTTTTTTTGTACATTTCTTTGCCGTTGTTTTGCACGACTACAACGTGGAATTTCCAGAAACCTCTAAATTACACATTTTTTGGAGGAAATATCATACGTGTTCTCGTTCACTTTTTTTACTGCCGCTTATTTTCACCTTGCATTGGTGGCCGTAGCATATCTCATTTTGTCACCGCCGCTACAAAATTTTCATGTTGTTCTTCCAACAAAAAAATGTCTCCTCGTTGAGCTTCGCTGTCCTTCTTGCCTACTTTCGTTTTAGACCTCGATTTTATATAGCGTTTCAATTTTTGAACGGCTAAATGTTCAAATTTTCGTACGGTTAACGCGTTTCTGTGTGAACAAAACGCCTAACCGTTCAAATTTTTGACTAGCACCGTGTGAACGAAGCCATAATCTAATAATTCCACAGAACTAAATTTAGTAAGTGGGGTTTTAAAAATAACTTATGTGCACGAATTTTGCACGTGAAGGTGTTGGACTTTGCCACTTTTACCGGTTCGCGCGTGAAAGAATGTACATTTGTTTGCGATATTAACAAGAAAATAATTGGTGCATTTCGATCTTCTGGTCAAAAAATGTCAGAAAAGATCATCAGGATAAACTTTCGAACAGCATTCATTTAAAAGTGGCCTACTAAAGGTTCTTTAAATAGCCACCAATTCTTTAAAAGCTCATTCACCAATTCGTAATTGTATTTGTTGTCTTTCATTTCATCTTTCAAGGCTGCAAGTCACAAAATCTTTGCGCAACATCTCCCTTGGCTCTCGACATCTGAGAACACACAATTGCTCAAACTCGTAGCTGTGAGCCAAACCTGTGAATTCTTAATATTTTTGACAGATATGATCCCTGGATTTAATACTTCCAAATTTCTGAAAAAACCGGCCGACTTTTGGGTGAGGTAAAAATACTGTAAGGTTTAGATTAACTTTATCTTTTCCTCAAAATTGAATATTATCTCTGTGCTGCTTTAACTTGCTCATCGCTTTTAGTTTTTCTCCTCGTAACTCCGTCTAGTTTGTCCCCGCACTGTCGGGAATTGTGTTTCTTTGTTGCATGGTATTTGAGATCGTAAAAGTGGGATCAAGTACCCTGCCAGCAGAGCTTTTTTTCTGGCATGGTTTTTACCTTGTACGAGTGCTTCGCGTGGCAGACATTCGCGTCGCTTGACTTATTTACTTGGTTTGATTACGTTCGCACGTATCGCGTGCCTATTGCAACTTTAAATCAAAACAAGCGATTTCGAACACTCTACTTGGGCCACGCCCAAGCAAAAAAAAAATGACAAAACAGACAGAAAAACAATAAATATCTAACCTCACCGAAGAAACAGGTCCTCAAAGGCATTAAATTAGGTCAGTTAAAGAAAACGCTGCCATCTAATATGAATCCGGCCGTTTATGCGACGCTTTCCTCGACAACAAATAAATAAACAAGCCATCGAACCAATTTTGAACAACAAAAGAATCTACATAGCTGCTGTATTTCATGTTGTGCCAGCAATGAAAGAACACAACAGCATTGAAAGAATTAAGTTAAAGGTACACGACGTTTTAGTTGTCGGTAAACAAACTTGAAGACGCTGCATACGTTTTTAGCATGAATTCACCTGTCAAAACTTTGACTAATCTGAGACTAGACTGGTCCTGGAGCGTGATCAACAAGTGCATCCTTAAAATTATCATCTTCAAAGTTTTTTTTGTCGTAAGTCAAACAAACAAAAATGAAGATCTTTACTGGATAAACTCCCTTGGCTGCCTCTAGGTGGACTGGTCAACGTTTCGCCAATACAAACGCAAGGTGCATGTCTTGGATTCCCCGTCTTCCTCCCACCTATAGGTTACCATTTTCTATAACAATGAAGGCTCCGCCACAAAAGAATAAAGAAAGTAATACAGTCCGACCTTTATCAAGCGGCCGCCCTCCTTAAGCGGCCACTTTCCAAAGTCCCGATTTATTTGTCAGTAAACTGCTGTATTTGATACCTATATTCAACGGCCACCTCTATTAAGCAGCCGCGGCCACCTTTTTGCTGTCGCAAGTGTATTGTTTATACGGTTTTTTACCTCCATTAAGCG